GCTGGACCATCACCAGCCGCGGGCCAACAGGTATGAAACGCTCCCCAGGCCTCCCTGACGCCTACTCTACAGATTTATAATACCATTCCCCCCAATTAACAGATGAGAAAAACGAGGCTCAGGGGGTTAAGTAACTTCAGCTTCAAGCAACCGAGAAGGCACAGTATCAGTATTTGAGCTGGGCCTGCTTGAGGCCACTGTACCCCCTCCCCCCAACACAGCGTGACCCGTGCTAAGCGTTTTGCCTGCATCACCCAGTGTTTTACCCTCACAACCTTCGCTGCTTTGTCCTTTCCCCTCTCACTCTCCTCCTGGTCCACTGCAAACTTGCTGTTTGTCCTCACTTCCTCCTCACCCATCAGCTGATGACCAGAGCCCAGGCTTCTGGAGAAAATGCAAACACTTTATCCCAGCCCCAGGAACAGTCTGGCACTTAATAGATGCCAGATAATTATCCTTTGAATGAACGAATCGAAGGAAATGCCCACTAGCTTCCACCACGTATCTGTCCACCACCTGAGATGGCTCCCAACCTCCCCTTCCCTCTGGGGACCAGGCTGAACTGGCCCAGCTGGCCTGGAAGCCCCCTCCACTTGTCCACAACATCTCACCCTTCAAGCCAACACTGACCCATTGATTCTGCCTTCTCTCCCCTCTCCCCAGTCATTCCCATCAATTCACATGCTGTTACCTCTCCTACCCTAAAACTAAAACAAGAGGGGGGGGGGACAAAAACCCTCTTATGACCCTTCCGTCCTCTCCAGCTACTGCTGCCTCATTTTCCCCCTTCTCTTTACAGCAAAAATCCTCCAAGAGTTGTTCTTTCAGGCTGCCTGCAGTCTCTCTTCTCCCCTTCTCCTTTAAAACCCATCTAACCAGGCTCTCGCCCCTCTCCCCACCAATCCCCCTAATCTGTCATTTTGGGTCCCTAGTGATGTCCATGTTACTGGATCCAATCCTGAGTCTCCATCCTTGTTTTACTGGTCCCTCTAGCAGTATTTGTCACTGCTGCCCACTCCCTCTTCTCTGAAGCATCTTCCTCTCAGGGCTTCTCAGACACCACACTTGCCTGGTTCTCCTCCTCTTCCTTGGCGACCTCCCCATTCTCCTTTGCAGCAGCGCACCCCCACCCCACCCCAAACTTCTAAAAGTTGTGATGGCCCCTGTTTAGCTCTTGATCTTCTGGTCCTTCCATACTCTTTGTCCTAAAGCTGTCACCCCGACACATGGCTTTGGAGGCTTCTATCAGCTGATGACACTCAAATGTGTCCAGCAGCCTGGACCGCTCCCTAGACTCACAGATCTGTGTGCTGGGGGCATCTTTTATCTTGCTCCATCCAACATCCTGATCATCTCCTCCGAAGTTGTTCCTGCACCTTCCCCATTTCAGTTAACGAAAACTTCATTTTCTAGGTACTCAGGCCAAAAACCAGATTCCATTCTCTGCCTGCCATATGCATACCGCACATCCACTCCAAGAGCAATTCCCATCTGCTCCACCTTGAAAATACATCCAGAATCTGACATTTCTCACCCCACCCCCTTGTCCAAGCTACCAGCCTCTCCCCAGGCAGAATGCAGAGGCCTCCTCTCACTGGTGTTCCTGCCTCCTCCAACCCTTTGTCCAAACAGCAGCCAGAAGGATGATGGTAGAATTAGGTCCAGATCACCTCCCTCCTCCGTGTCACCCCCTCCAGTGGTTCCTCACTGAACCCAGAGGAAAAGCCCCCACCCCTGCACTCTGACCCCATCTCCATTGGCCAGACTCTGCCCAGCCACACGGGCCTTGCTGGCTCTCATCCCTTCCCCAGTCATGACCTTTGCTCTTGCCACTCCTCTGCCTGGAAAACCTTGACCACATATCTGCTCACTCTCTCACCTCGTTCAGGTTCAGGCTTCAATGTCAGCTTCTCGGTGAGGCTTCTTTGACCTTCCTCTTTGAAGCCTCTTCCAAGCCTGTCTTGCACTGCCTTCCCTCTTTGATTCCCCCCATACACTTACTAGCATCACCGTGTGATGTGCTTCATGTTTCACTTGTGCATTTATTTTATTGCCAGTCCCCTGCCCTAGAATGTGAGCTCCACAGGGCAGAGGTTCCTGCTGACCTTTTCATTGCTGTGTCTTCCCCTGGAACAGTGTCTGGAACAGAGTAACCAGGCACTCAACAAACGTGTTTGGAATGAATGAACCTTTCACCTCTGGTAACAGTCACAATACTTCTTCTCTATATTGGTGTTTTCATTCCAATGAAAGTATTTTAAAAGGAAACTTTATATTCCTGCACTAGACAGGGTACCACTATCACTAGCCTAGAATAGAAGGTAACAGTAAAAATGAGAATAAAACAATGTTCTAAATCTCTGGGGATCCATTGCCTATCTAAGGGCTGAGCCACCTCCCTCCCTCACCTTGGGAAAAAGTGAGATTCACATGGTAGAGAGAAGTAGTAAATACAAGCCAACACCTAGCAGAGACCTGCCCCTGGATATACAGAGAATTTTTTTTTTTCAATCCAGAGCTGAGAACCCAATGGCTTTCTTCTGGGAGCCATCTCTTGGGCTGTGCTCAGCCCTACAAGCGCTTCCTGACTCTCCCGGAAGAATCTGCCTCCTGGCAGCTTGATTAACCTCACACAAGCCCTCTGAGGGCCTGCTGTCATCACCCCATCTTACAGATCAGGAAACTGAGGCTGAGATGGGAGCTTGGCCCAAGCTCACAGAGCATGTTAAGATGGGCAGAGACTGGAATTTGGAGTTTGCCAAACCCCAAGCCCTGGATGGACTCTGAGGCCAAATCCCGTCTAATCTGGAGGAGCTGCAGGGGAAGGGATGACAAGGATGGAAGAGCCCACAGGCCTGCCCTGCACTGGCCTCAGTTTACCCGTCTGTAAAGTGCTGCCCAGGAAGCACAGCCTGGCCATCCTGGGGCTTTTGTTGAAGTCTGGGGAGGAAGGTGTCTTCCTTCTTCTGCTTGGGGTCTGGTGTACTCTCCTTCTTCTGGGTGAGGAGTGGGGAGCACGCAGACTAGAGCCTTATGGTGTTCCACTACCACACAAGGGGAGAGCCTATCTCAGAATAGAGCCCACCACCAGGGAAGCCGAGCCCTGGGACATATCTGGGGGAACTTGACATCCCTGGGGCCAATGTGGGCCTGACCTGATTGGTCCT